TATTATATTATATTATATTATATTATATTATATTATATTATATTATATTATATTATATTATATTATATTATATTGTTTAGCATATATCTTAGATCCTTGTATACAGTTTCTTTTTCACATTTCATATTTTACATTTTGCTTTTTTTTAATAACTGGAAGCTTGAGTACACAATTTTGTTCCACCTCCTGTACCACATGTGATGCGAATGACAATAAAGAACCTTGAACCTTGGTTTTATGCCAAATGGCCTGAAATGTTACAAGTTTTTATTTGTTTTAGGTGAGTTGGCTGTAGCAAGCACCTTGAATTAAGTTGTCTCCAAAAGTTCATCAGTTCTGTTTCATTAAAATTCATCCAGTGGTTATTAAGATATTTTACTAACAGACAGCACATTTTGTGTTTCAGTAGTGGCCGATGATGAGAAGCAGCCATGTGAAATCATCACAGTTGAGTTTAAATCAATTAAAAGGACTTCAGGAGGTGCTTGAGGTTAGAGTGCACCTGTTTACATCCTGAGCTGTGGTAAACTCATGCAGGTTGACAGAATTAAAGAAGAAAATCTTAGGTTGTTGCCTTTGATTGATGCTTAACTTCAATCAGTACTGAGGGGTTTTATCCTTATCATTTTTATTTTTCCGTATGTGTCTCCTATTAATTTCTTGGCTTCAAGTCAACATTCTTTACCAGATGTGTCCTTTTTGTTATCACGGTAATATTAAATTAGTAGAGTGGAAGGCCTTGTAGTTTTTGATCTTCCAATATTTCAATAGACCGTATTCTTTCCGCATTTGAATTGCATCCTTTATGAACTTTTTAATTCAGTTTTCTGTCTCTTTTTCTTTTTCTGCGATGTCTCTGCAAAATGCTAAAAGGAAGTGATAACCTTGGAATTGTAATTAACAAGTGAAACGCGGTAGCATAAAACTTAAAAAAAACAACATAAGAGCAGAACCTTTGTTGCATTTTGTGACTCCAGTGAATAGAAGCATAACTGAAGAAGCCTTCTTCTCTCAAATTAATCTGAGGACGTCTCCGAGACAAAAACCGTAAACACAGAGCCTCTGGGATCATTCTGAGTTTGACTTTCAGAAGAATCTGCCACTCACGCTTTACTTCCTCTGTGAACGTAGAGGAAAGGCTCTGTCCATAAACCTGTCACTCTTTAATATTTGGTCATAAAGAACACAAAACTGAAGTTCTGCAGCTAATTCACAAATATTAAACTCCTGTTCTTTAGCAGCTTGGTCTCTGAATGAATTGTGACTGTTCAAGTAACAACAGGACTTATTCTTTTGTGAAAAATGTTCACATTTCTGTCATTTGTGTTTGTGTGTTTAAAGGTGGGTGAGAGGCAGCGTGTTCTGGTGACAGAGGAGTCGTTCGATGCTCAGTACTACGTGGCCCACAACAAGTTCTACGAACAGGTAAGACACTTGCTTTAATAAGAACGGAGCCATGTGCTCCAATGGTCTCATCTTTACTCTGCGGGTGTTTGTCCACCCTTAGCACAAAACGTGATCAATGTTTTTATGGGTTTTAAAATTCAGTGGGGTTCCTTATTTTGTCTGCTCCCTCTTCAGAAGCCTCCACAGCGCAGTGTCCTCATCCTTGCTCTATTCTCTGTCCTCACTCCAACTACCTCCTTGTTCTCTCTAACTGCATCCATAGATCTCCTCTTTGTCTTTTTCCTGGCAGCTGCATTTCTAACATCCTGCTACCAATATAACCACTGTCGCTCCTCTGAACATGTCCAACCCACTGTCCTTCCTCTGGACATGTCCAACCCACTGTCCTTCCTCTGGACATGTCCAACCCACTGTCCTTCCTCTGGACATGTCCAACCCACTGTCTTTCCTCTGGACATGTCCAGCTCACTGTCCTTCCTCTGGACATGTCCAGCTCACTGTCCTTCCTCTGGACATGTCCAACCCACTGTCCTTCCTCTGGACATGTCCAACCCACTGTCCTTCCTCTGGACATGTCCAACCCACTGTCCTTCCTCTGGACATGTCCAGCTCACTGTCGCTCCTCTGGACATGTCCAGCTCACTGTCCTTCCTCTGGACATGTCCAGCTCACTGTCGCTCCTCTGGACATGTCCAAACCATCTCAGTCTGGCCTCTCTAACTTTATCTTCCAGTTGTTCAACCTGAACTCAAATTATTAAAAGCACATCAAATGGTTTTATAAAATCCTGTAACTTCAGTTAGAAAACATAGTTTAATTATTTTTTTTTAATCTATCATTGCATGTGGGAATACATCTTCAAGGGATAGTTCAGATATTTTGTGGAGTATTCAATGAAAAGGTTGTGAGCAGTCAGTATATTACCTGCAGTAGATAACTGTCTGAACCACCTCAGTCAGGAGAAGCAGAGCCTTGATGGAGCTAACGGCTAATCTTAGCAGGGCTTGACTTCTGCCTTCTTTAAACAAGACCTGTTTTAGAAGTCATGTAGCGTCGCTTAAGAACAATATTTATAAACTTTTACAATACTGTCAACTTTTTTACAACAAAGTTTATGGTTCTTTTCATTGAAGACATACAGGTTTTTGTTCTGTGATCAGTAATGATTAAGGTAAACATCCCCAAAAACAAACGTGTTAAATTTTTTCAGCCAGTGTTTGTTTGTTTTTTGTTTTTTTGTTGTTGGTTTTTTTGTTTTTTTACATCAGGCTGCTCCTAACCCATTGTGTCCTGATGCATGCCCAATAATCCAGGTAGATACATCTAACAAGGTTGAGTCTTTTATAAACTTATCTGGATAAAAGACGAAACGTTTCAACAGAGAAGAACCCGTCCAGAGGACCTGACTCAACCTTGTTCGACTGACCCATTTTACTTCGTAGTACATGATTCACCCAAACCCATTCAATCTTCAGCCTTATAATACAAGAGTAGCAGCTGTGGAACGGTTTCTAAAAAAAGAGCTTGCTTAAAATATTTAGACTGTGTTTTACAACAGCTGTGATCTGCTTTGATCTTTGCCTCGCTCTTGTTAGCCGTTAGCTTGATTGTCCAAGTGAAACGTACCTAGTTTTTCTACATTCTTAGCTTGTTAAAGAGGTATATACTGCAGGTAAGATATTTTCTGTTCAAAGCTCTCCACAGGACCCCACTTCAAGTAATCTAAACTATTTATTTCTACATCGCTTCATTCTATTTACCAGTGTCTGCTGAGTGATAATTCAACTGTAAATGTCTGAAACCTGCAAAGATTAAATTCTGAAGTATTTAGTGTTTAATGCACCGGCTGTTGAAAACATAAAAACAATACTGCAAATTAATCTGCATTTAATTACTTTTTTTTTCTTTAGGATAAGGAGCGTGAGCAGATCCTCCTGATTTAAAAGTTTCACATTAAGTAAATTAGATCAGGGGGTCAGGTGTCAGAGGCTGAGCTGTATCGACTAAAGTAGGTTAGCTATAAAATCAGACATCACAAACACACACAGACACACAACACACACACCCTACGGTGGTCATGAGAGCGTTTGGCAGCTGATAACAGCAATATGTTTTAGCTTTTTTTTTACTGCAACATTAAGGTCAGCCCTAAAGACATATACATTACACACACACGCACGCACACACACACACATACGCACACACACACACACAGCTTCAAAGATCCTCAGTCAACCTGTGAAGAATTCACTTTAAAACATTTTCAAATAAATCAATTTCCCGTGCTTTAAGCGTCATCAGGAACATGTTTGAAGTTGTGTTTTTTATTAGCGGGGGGAGGGGGGGGGGTCATAATTTATCCTCCCTTCCACTTTGCTCCCCACCCCTGTTCTCCTCCTCCTGCTTTGCGCCTCCTCCTGCAGGCTATAAACTAAAGTTACAAGTGTTACTCGGTTCACGCAGGCGTTGTCTGAGAGCGCACTCCATCATTTAAATGTGCACATCTGTGCAGATGTGTCAGTGGACTGCACTTAAACAGAGATGTTTGATGTTTCCTCCTGCGAGCCCTCTTGTTCTCCTAAATTTCACTTTTTAAAAAGAAAGAAATATGAAAACACGATCGACCCAGATGTCACGGAATCCCTCCCCCTAAAGAATTCAGCCCCTCCCCCTGGAGACAGGCGTGTAGATCATGCGTTACACTGCATCTCTGTTTGAATGTATGCTGATGTTTGAGGATGAAAGTGTCAGTGTGAGCCAGAATAAAGTCTGGAAGGCAAAGACAGGAGGCAGGACTGAGTGATGAGGCCAAAGCAAGGCATGAAAGAAGCTGCAGCTGGAAACAAGTCACCACAGACTTTCACTTTACACAATCAGATTATATCTGCTCTGGCAATTTTACGAGGGAGGAGGTTTAACCAAACCACCTCCGATTGCTCCTCTGTGTGGGGGTGTGTGTTGGCCGTTAAATGAGGAAGTGTGAGGGGGGGTTCCAGTGAAATTGGACATGCTCTTTCATCATTTAATCACCACGTTATGGTCCAAGAATGACCCTCAGCCACTCACACATCCTCACAGCTGCCCACTTCACATCCCCGCCGCTTCACCTCTCTGCCACTTTCACGAGCGCGCACTCTGATCGGGGTCATCGTCCTGGCAGCAGGTGTGTTGATTGGACAGATGTACTGCAGAGGGTGTGTTTGGCTCCCTCTCTGAGCATATTCCAGCAGCTGGACAAAGACTGACAGATTACCAGTGAGGCAGGTCCAGTCCTGTTATCGCAGCAGTGACCACCTCTCATCTGGCTCATACGGTACTGTCAGGGACCGAGGCCTGCAGAGTGGTGTAATGGTCGGACGCTCAGACTCAGCAGGCAGCTTCCATGCTGAACTCCCTGCAGGCTCGTGGCTGCTGAGATCACCCTTCCATCTGCTGGACGAAGGGACAAGGCAAACCAAAACCTATCATTTATTGTTCGTAAAGTCATATAACAATTCAACTAAAAGGGTGGGTGTGGCGTCAGTTTGCTGATAATCACCTTGAATAATGTCTGTTTGTCATTTTGATATATATACATATATATATGTGTGTGTGTGAGGGAGATTGCTCAAACACAACAAACCTTTTTCTTTCATGTGGGAAGTAAATAAGTCTATACGCTTGAAAAAGAAAGAAAATGTTCAACGGTGAATCTAATTTAGTCAAGTTTTAACAGCTGCAGTTTTAACTTGTACAAATAATCCCTCAGAACCGACTGTCTAATTAGTGTTGTGAAGAAGTGTACACTATCCGTCACTCTGCGTTTGTCAGCTACTTTGAAAAGTGTTTTAGAAGAAAATGAGTTTTCATACAGTTTTTATTTACAGGAAAAAGTCATTAAGAACAAATTTCATTTCACGCAGAGACATAATTATAATTCTTTGTTTTCTCCTGCCTCCTGCTGTGATTAGCAGAGGTTTAGAGTTGCCGTGATGAAGTAACAAGAAACTCAAATCCCTCTGGTTTCTGTCACAGCTGCTGCCATAGTTTTGACCTTGAGGGCTTAAAGGACGGTTTGTAGAGACTAGCTAAATAATGAAGGCGAGAAAAGAGTTTTGAGCTGCACCTAATTGAAAATGTAATTGAAGGAAGTAAGGGAGCAGGCAGACTGTTTGGTGAAATGGGTGTATCTGCAGAACTGCCTTTCATTAAGAATCACATAAAAGTGCTGCAATGATCCAGGTTTGCTCAGTCAATGATATTTTACTGGATAGTGTCTATTAATGTTACATTAGGGTTTACCAATGTGATCACAATGTTCTTTTTTCAGTAGAGATGTTTTTACTCTGTTTCCAAATCAGTTTTATGTTAAACTCGCATCGATCTCTCCTGATTTCCAGGTGCTGGTACCCAAGAGACTTGAGTTCAAAGGGAAGATGATCGAGGTGGACATTTACGAGGCAGGAAAACACTTCATGAAGGGGAAACCAGTGGAAGGCAGCAAACCGTTCACACCCTCCATCGCTGCGCCGCTTCAAAAGGGACAAGTGTCTGGTTTGATGCAGGTAACCTTCACTAATGCATGCAGACACCTGGAATAACTGTTTTCACCACCACCCCCGCAATAATGACCATGACACTAGAGAGCAGTGCAGCACAGAAGCAAGCTCACGTTCAGAAAGTTGATATTTACAGAAGTGAAAAGAAAGGTGCAGCTCAGGTGTTCCTAGATCAGGTGTTCCATTGGTTCAGGTGTTCCATTGGTTCAGGTCTTCCATTGGTTCAGGTCTTCCATTGTTTCAGGTCTTCTAGTGGTTCAGGTCTT